AGACATTTTTATTTCATAAATTTACCTAATTTTGAAGACGCTCGTTGTTTTCCGGAGTATTGTAATCAGATATATCAAGAAAGTGACTTCCGTTGACAAAACTGATGTCTGGATTAAATGATTCAGAATTATTATAATATGAAATTAGATAGGCACTTATAGTTATATTCGAAGAGTGATTATGGATCCATTTGTAATTAGGTAGTTTGGTTATGTTTTTGTGTATTCTTGGTAGCGAATATGAAACCAAACGTAACGTAAGTGCCTAGCGACGAATTTTAAGTGACTAAAATCCAACGTAATATGACGTTGGTAATTGATAGAATTACATTCCCTATTAGATCAGATACCGACGTCGAGGCGACCCGAATCTGTATTCCCCATTTAGGTGCAAATAAGGGTCGTCAGGCGGTCGAACCGACGTTGGTACCCGACGTCGGGGTTATTGAACGCGACGTATACCCGACGTTAGATAACGTCCAAATGCTACTTGGGCGGTCTCCTGAATACAATGATATGCCACACTTTATACTTTTATTGTTTTGGGTACCTTAACAGCAACTAAACTAATTATAATTTAAAATAATTTCAAGTCCGACTCTGGTTTCTTAAATTATTTAATATGATTATATTCATCACAACAATATTGATTAGCGCTAATTAACATTGAATAAGGAAAATCGAGCCAATTGGAAAATTGAAATAAATAATATCGAGGTCAAAAATTTAAAGATATTATTTTTAACTTTTTTTATTGTGAATTTGAAATCTCAGTGTGCGATCTAATAAATAATATGCATATAGGCAATATGCAAACGTAGTTATTATAAATTAACCAATTTCTATAAATTAGTTTCTAATGTTCTACGTGCTCGAAAGGGTTACCACCCTCCTTATTGCACAAACTTATTTTTCGTTCAATTTTATTTGTAGCTCTTTGAACTTTCTTCTTATACTTCCGAATGCATTTTGTAGCATAATGTAAATGTTGAGATGAATTGATTTCACTTTTACAAATGACGTCAAGTAATGTAGCCCCTTGGTTATAAGTCCAGGAACCTCGCTGGTCATTATACTGCTCCACCGTTTCCAATCCATCTTCCGGGAAAATGATTTGATTGTTTATATTATATTACATTTATATTAATTATTTTATATTATTTTATTGCATTTGATTTTCCGTATACAATGTTGTACCCCACATTGTTAAGTTTGAAAGTTTATCAATACTGTAACGATGAATACATTAAATATTAAAAAAACAATATCAAATGTCAAAACCAAAAAAATATTAAGTGTGGCATATCATTGTACTCGGGAGACTGAGTTCTTTCAAAATCTGAAATAAAAAATGCAGGTCCGTTAAAAAATTAATTTGGCCTCTGTATCTCACAAATTATCAGCTAATTTAAAAATATAAAAATACTATCGGATAGCCCTAATAAAGTGGCTATGAGAATGTGTAATTAGTTTTTTGATTTTCTAAAAAGTAACGACAGGAAAAAATAAAATATATTATCAAAAAACTCAGATGTTTCCAAAAAACTCAGCAATCCTTGAAATTTTTGAAACTTTTTTGATGGCATTTTGGTGAACATCAGAAGGTGCAACTTTGCTCCAATTTGACCATCTTCGTATCTATTACGGTTTCCGAGATACCAATGCTCGTACCTCGAATTTGTAGCACCCTGTATATTAAGATATTAATATTGCATTTTAATAAAGTAGGTTTTAATATTCCTTATACTACTTAATTATAAGTCGTATACTATGTAAAATGGATAAATCCTTTACAATATGGCAACACCGATTAGAGGCGAGATCGCCTATCCATTCTTCTATTATCTTGTAGTACGCGTCGCACGTATGTAGTAAAGCATTGTTGCCGCTACTTCCCTCTGGCTGTATTATTGCATTTTCTTAGTTTGTAGTCCTTAAATGTTTATTTTATTTACTCTTTGTATCCAAGAACTACAAAATATGGTTCGCCAGTGCCAAATTTGCAAGAAATTTGACTTAAATAATCTATTTAAGCCTCGAAACGCCTTTCGACCGGTAAGCAACTCTCAATTTACCAATTGGGAGTCAGTGGCGTTGTTGTAGAAAGGCGCTTATTTAGATAATATTTTAGTAAAATATAAAATCTGAATTTTTTCTATTACATAATCATTTATATAAAGTTTTTTGTAACAAAATCATAATTATAACCCCTGTTATTATACATAATAGATAAATTATATTAGGCATCGGTTAAAAAATTAATAATGTTTTTATTAAAAATATATTCCGGTTTATTCTAAAACTATCTTCAGAATCTAAAATAACATACAATTTTAAAATTATCTTACATTATGAAACAATATTTTTTAATATACCGGGTGCGTCTCAAAAGTGGTTCTAAAAAACAGATTTGTATGTTATAGACCAGTCGACAAGAGGTTTTAGGTCGAAATAATTAGGGGCAAGCTGCAATAACACTTATTCTCTTTGTTTTGCTTTGTGGAACACTCTACTAAATTTGCACGGTCTATCGATCCCGGCTCTGGGGCCTTATTCTGTAAGTATTTTACCGATCGATTCGGTAGAATTTGTTCGATTGTGACGACATTTTCGATTCGGTAGCGCGTAAAGCTAGTCCGTAGCTCCGAACCGAACGGAAACCCTACCAAATCCTCGGTTCGCGTACCGAAAGCTCTAATCGTCTTGGTAACTAATAATAATTATTCTATTCAACAATACATTTTTCTGTCTGGGGTTTGACAGTTTCAAAAAAAGGCTAGAATGCGCGTGTTATTGCAAAGGTTTTATTTACGAAACACTCGGAAGTATAGTATTATAAAAAATAGATGTAAAGTGTTAAATAAAGTGAAAATTTGTGATATTTGTCAGGGATATGAATTTAATCAGCGCAGAGGTTGGTGAACAGGCTAAGAAGAACACCAAACATATACATACTTTCGTTTTATTAACATGTTGTATTTTATTATATTTATATTGTGATTATAGTACTATTCTTTTAAAAGTTCCTCAATATGGCCGACCTAGTTACGAAAATTGGTAATTTTTTTTTAATGAAAAATAAGTTGGCGTTAGCGAATTCAGAAATTGATTTACTCTTTGGTTAACAATAATATTTTTCAGGATTGTCAAGTTGACGTTAAAGTTAGGTTATTAGGTGGTTGTTATAAATAAAAACATAGATTGTTGAAATTATTTAATAAGAATAAAGGTATTTTACCGCAAATCCGAAGAGATTTTACTTAAAGGTATTTTATAAACTTTCTCAGTGAGAATATTAGCTCCCCTGTTTCTTATATTTCAGTTAAAGGAACGTAAGAACTATAGGAAGTAAATTTTTGTTTTCATGTCTTGACGATATCTGAGAGTTCCTAGAATTATCAAGATTATGGAATAATTATAGTTGTTTAATAAGTGAAATTAATAGAAGACTTGGAAATAGGATGATGCTTTTCATGTTATAGTTGATAGATCACCCCATTTCTCTTAATTTGTTTTTATTTCAGTACAGTTAATCACAAATTGAATTGATGTGTGCAAAAACAGCTATATATTTTCAAACATCTTATTTAAATAGTTCTTTTATATACTGTTAAACTGTATCAACTACAAAGTATTTAGCAAAAAATTATAAGGTAATAAATTTTGTATATATAATTTATGAAAATTTATAATATATAAAGATTAGAACACAATCCTCTGAAGGAAAAAGAAATACTCAAAAACTCATTAAATATACTTTATTAAAAATAACAACATACAAAAACATCCATGCAAACTGTAATAATCAGAACAATATCCACATTATACCTTTATTAAATATGTGTCTACACTCCTGTCAGGAAAGCTAGAAATGTTTGTTTAAATATTAACTTATTTTAAATTGCCAGAAACACATCAGAATATATCACAACCACAACTATAGGTTAATCAGTACTAAATTTTATACCTAGTAAGTGATGCGTTAACTAACAAGTATAGGATAAAAAACAATTATTAATATAGAGTCTACTATGAAATGTCCTGCTTATTTATGAAATTACTTTCCCTTCAAATGTGAGGAATACCAGTAAAATGAAACATAATTTTTGGTTTGGTTTTGTGTTTGATATTCTAACTACATCTATTACAAACCTTAAGTGCCTTTAGTGAGTAACTGTATTTTTTGTTATTCTTTGTATATCCTGTAAAGTAAAAAAATATATATTTCAAGAAAAATAAAAACAATGCAATAGATATCAAACAGATTCATAAAAACTACTTACAATTATTGTACATAATTATATATTTCAAGTGTTATTTGATGTTTGGCCCCATTACCAACATTACTTTATTTAGGTCTTCTCTGCTAACTCAACTTTTAAACCTGTTTTAAACCTTCTTTAAATTTTAAAACTGATTTACAATAATCTGTAATGCCCGCGCTGTTTCCTGAAATATAAGTTTTAATCTATTTATTATATAGTACATATTACAAATCTGAAAATTACTGATACGAGGAAACTTCTCAAAATAATTAGAGACATTTTTACAAACATCTGGACTAATTTATTTTCACAAATTTGTGAACGAGTCAATGTTTTCTAATACGTTTTTAAGCATTTCATACATTTTGAATATCTTCCAGCCTATTCCTCAATTCTTGATCGGTGAAAAGATTATTTATAACTATATAATTAGTACTACAGGCTGCAGGTTAAATAAAAGAACAAAATCAAGTAGAATTTGTAAATAAAAACTCAAAAAATAATGAAAATATTTAGAAAAAGGAACCGTAATCGTCATGTCAGCCAAGTGTCAGAGTTCAATTGGATTTACCACAGAATATCAATTTGAACTGCAGTCGATTCCAGCTTAGAGATTTTCGTGTTTTAAGCCTCTCATACTGAAGTCGCCATATTGGGAAGTTTTAAATGAATATAAGTATATTTATTAAGGTTTTTTTTTTAATTTAGAATAAATACAATTAAGTTTTGACACAAGTTTTAATAGAGTAACAAGTAATTCTAAAAAAGTTGTTCTAAACATTATTATAAACATTATATTAAACAAAATTGAATAAAAAACGTCACTCCTTCTCCAGCCCACATCTTCACGACATCTTGTAGCCTGAAAAGAAAAAAATAATTATTAATCATATATCATATAATCATATCTTTATAAAAAATGTATATTTTACGCCTCTGTACACTATGCATATTTTAAAAGTATATTTGTTTATCAGATTCACATTTTCATAGTATTCGCAATGGCTGCATTCTCAACAGCAATTGCCTTGCCTTTCCTATATTGCCAAAAGAAGATTCAACAGCGAGCATTCTTCTTTTTTCTGTAAAATTTTCATGTACTTGTATAAAGCGAAGCGAGACTTCCCTCTGCTGCATAGTCATACGGATTCCTTTCGGCGCCTAAAAGAATATTTAATATTACTTACTCCTTCTGGAAAAATAGATCATATTTACCTGTAAATCTGTCATCACTCACATATCCTCAAACCTTTAGAAAAAGTTCAACAGACGCGTTGAAGAAGTTGAAAAGGTGAATTTGAACATATACAAAATTTGAAAGCGTCACTGTCACTATCACGTCCTACTGTCATGCCCTAACCATGATTGTTTTTCGGTTGCTTCGAAACCGAACCGAACGGTTGCCGAACAGCGATACAGAATTGCAATGCGCGCTACTGAACGTAACATTCGACAACTCTATCGTTCGGTATAGTGAACCGAATCGAATTTTCGGATCCGAAACCGAAAAAGATACAGAATAGGGTCCCTTGCCACCATATTGGAAAATCCTGTCAAATTATGACATTTTAATGTTTTTTAAATAACTGGGTCTGGGTGCACTGTACAGAAAATTTGCAAGAGACCAAAAAGAAAGCTATTTAAATTCTCTACAAAAAAGGTCTTATTCACCAATTTTGTGCATGAATAGGTTAACGAGATACAGGCACTTAAATAATAAAACATATATTTTCTAGTGGTTCATTTAATATTAGAAACTAATTCTATTTAAATTTGGATAATTTACCAGTACAAATTTGTGTTTTTCTTGTGCTCGTTTCTACACCATCTGGCACTCGGCGCACTTTTTTTAAGTGGTTTTCCCTATAGGCCTAATCCACTTTCTTGCCGTTGCAAATGGTCTATTTTTATATCCATATGACATGATATGCTTTATAAGTATGTATTTTCACCGTCTGATTTATTTTTGACGTAGAAGGTTGATCAATTGACTCATCAACATATTCTTCATCGAATTGTTCATCTGGTTCTTGTTCAATGTCTGTCTTCGATATTTGCGTTGGTCATTAATTCTTCTAAGAATCGATTTCTTCGTCGTCCCCTGGATCTTCTAGAGTTATTTCAGAATTTGAAAACGCTCTTCCCTGGCACGAACCGCACACTACCGACCAGTGTAATCCTGCTTTTCTGCAGCTGCAGGCTGTGTTGCAACCTTTTATGCATTTACAAGAAATCATTTTCAATAACTCTTGGGGAGCGGCGTCTTGCAGCATAGAAATCGGTATAAGTCCATTGGACGACTGCTTCCAACCCCAGTCAGTGCATATATTTTCGTTACCTTACCATTTTTGGACTTATAGGTATGTACGAAATGAGTGCACGCGAACCGCATCTTCGGTTGAAGGAAGGGATGCAAGATTAAATAAACTCTTTGTTATAGATTGCGCAAAAATCGATGTCTATAGATGTGTAGTGATGTGTCGTCGCTCTTTGACCCATAAAGTGCAAGAAGAAATTGAATTCCAACTTTGGCTATGCTTTCTGGTGTTGCATTTGGGTCTCTAAAATAGTAAATGACAGTTTTCAAACTTGTCTGATTTCTTAGAACCTTAAGGAACTTCATTTTACCCTGCCTGTAAATTGCTGAAGTGGTGTCGCACCCACTAAATGCATGTAAAAACAAAATGTTTTCTTTAACAGCCGTGTTCAATATTGATGCAGAGGGTGAATAAAGGGTATTTCCAGCTTTTCCCTTTCGTTGCTTTAAAAAGTAGATATTATTCTGAGACTCTCATAGTGCAGTAAGTATAACCAGTCAATAAGTATAACCAGTAATAATTATAACCAAATTATAACCAGATCCAAACTTGTTTGACATATCAAGAGCTGTATTAAAGGCCGATTTTCACTAGGCGATCAGGTCACAGTACACTCATGGTCCGCTCACGGTCAAGATTTTTCGACAGTATTTACACTCTTCAATCAAACGTCGTTCAATTTTGTGTGGTCGCGAAGTTGTAAAACTGATTTTAAAAAATGTTTAAAAGCTTTTCGAATAGTGAATTGGCTGCTATTGCAATATGTTTGGATGAAGAAGAGTATGAAAATAAAAGAAACGGAAGATATGGATCCATGATATGTTAAAAAAAAACCGAAGGTGAATTTTTCACTTTACATAACGACGAAATAAAAGTTTTTCAATACTTTTGTATGAAGAAATGCGCATTTTATTATATTTTAAATAAAATTTCGTCGGACTTGATAAGAAAAAATACCACCTTTTGAGAATCTATCACACCACTGGAGAAATTATGTGTTTGTTTAAGGTAAGAAAATAACTTATTTTAATAAAAAATTATTGTTAAAAACCAAATTGAATACAAATCGGATTATAGGCACCTACAAAACCCTTTTATTTTTAATAATACCTACAAAGCTGTGAAATTATATTTGTTCTTCACACGAGAAATCTTCATAATATGATGAGACTGCTGAGGAAAGTGGGGTAGACGGAGTTACAGAACCATCAGTGTTTGTTTGAAGTGGTAATTTTTGGTATTCTCTTTGAGGCTGCTCGATTCTATTAAAACTAGGACCAGAAGTAGACTGAAAATCATGGAGAGAGTCTTGTTGGTGTCTTTGGAGACGCTCGATGCTGTTAAAAGTTCGACCGGAAGTGGATTGAGCAATATGGAGGGAGTCTTGAGATGTCTTTGCGGCTGCTCGATGCAAATGAAACTGGAAGTGGATTGGAAATCATGGACGGAGTCTTGTTGGTATCTTTGGAGCTGCTCGATCTTATTAAAAGTATGACGGGAAGTGGAATTTGAAGCAGGTTGATCAGCACAGCCTCGATCATTATTAGGGCGGTCACGCATCCAAATATATTTGTCTTCAATATCGGACACATAATTAAATATTTGTTTTTTAGTCGTGTGAATATCGGCGGGTGAAAAATTACGCACCGTTGCCTTAATACTATCGAAAAATAGATCTAATGATCTTTTTCTGTTTCTGATTTTTCCGAATTTTTGCGTTCAACAATTCAATACAATTCTGCATTGTCACGCACTGCCTCTACCATTTGTTCGTCCATTTTATATTGAAAATTTGAAAAACACATTCACAGGGAAGAAAGTATTTACCCCAAACGCAGAATCAGAACAGAATTTGGCCGGCACCTGATCGCACTATATTCACACTGCCGTCCAGTCATCCGACAGTCAGGTCTCGATCTGTTCAAAATATTGTCTCCGAGAAATTCCGCGGTCAAAGAGCGTGAGCGTACCGTGAGCGGATATGCAAATGTGGATGCTCCGTATAAATTACATTGAATAATAAATTTTGACCGTGAGCGGACAATGAGCGTACTGTGACTTGAGCGCCTAGTGGAAATCGGCCATAATAATTAGAGTGTCAGCATCTTCTAACGCCTGTTTTACTAAAATTCCTTCATTTTTGAACCGGTTACACAGCATTGAAAAAGCCTGCTTTTATTACTTAAATTTGACAGAAATTTAGCTTGAAATGTAGTAGTTTTCATCGTTTCATCGAAAGCTACTTCGTCTGGGGGGCAATTTTTTATTCGACTAAAGCGTTCAGCACTTTTAGTTGAGTTTTCGTTGTTCTTCTCCGGTTATCCATCAAATACTATTATGCTAGCGCACATTAAGATGTATATTAGCATATTTGGAAAAAGCACTTTTTTAGGAATATATTGATACTTGGTATTTGGAGTCAAATTATTGTTATGAACCGCGTTACAATTTCAATTAAACAATATGCCAAAATATCAGAAGTAATATATAATAAAAGAATAGAATAATAGAATAAGAATAGAAGACATGTCAAAAGTTGACATATGATTTTATTCAGAATGTCATTTTCTATCGAATAAAGTAGAGATATACTACCTAGGGTGCCATTTAAAAATCAAATGTTATAGTCATTTCCGGTGAAACAGGTGACCAAAAACAATAATTGAATGCACCAATCAATCCTAATTTATGTCATATACTAACATACTATATCTTGTTTTTCTATTAGAAATAATAAAAAAATTATGCGGGTGAGCCAGTTTTGGGACGCACCCGGTATTATAAAGACAGTACCGAGTTAAATAAATATAGTTTTCATTTTATCCACTTCCTAAAAACTTGCTTTAATGGAACATATTTCTGTTTTTTCTAATTTACATAATAAGACATCAGTTACCAGAAAAAAAAATACAACAATCATAAGTTTTTTCTCTCTCCGTGTCACCGATTCTATTATATCCATAGAATAGATCCTGTTTTGATTAATATTAGGATTGTAAATGTTCGACTAAAATTAATAATTTATTATTAAATTCAAAAATTAAATACGTAATTTCGATTATTAATTTTTTTCTATAACATGTATTTTATTATTTTTATCGTTTTTGGACTCTAAGACGTTTTTTTCTAAACTTTTATTTAAAAAGCCTCTCTTAAATCTTAATAAAATATAAAAAAGTTTAACTACGATATTTTTATAATTGAATTATAGCTTCATTAAAATAAAAAAATTACCCGGCTATGATACGGAGAGTTCAGGTGTACCGAGAAACGAAAGACATTTCTCCTCAGAGTCGTCAGAGAACGACCGTTACGACGCGCGACGGAGACAACCTATCTATCGCTCGTGCCGCACTCGTTAGAACCTAAAACAATAACACGACAATAACAAGATATTGTCTGACCGCATTTTCCAGCTATTTATGAATGAGATGCTCAGTCTATATTTTATTTTAAGTCTATGGATGACACACATCACAAGTACATGCGAGAGGTAGCGGACGCTCTATATAGAGTATGGCACTGTAAGAAGAAGAATATCAGTTTAATTTGTTTTTTTTATTTAATAAATATATAATATAGAAAAACCATTAGGTATATCAATTTTTCTAGATCAAAGCTGACGAGACTCAAGTTTTAGCGGATGATGCTCAAACTGATTTAGATGCCGCACTACCTGCCCTCGAGGCAGCTACAAAAGCATTAGATGCTTTAAATAAGAATGACATAAATGAAGTGAAGGTATTTCAGAAGCCTCCGAAATTAGTTCAGTTCGTAATGGAAAGCGTTTGTATATTATTAAATGCAAAGTAAGCACATTTAGATATATTTTATTGACAGTGATTATTCTTTAGCCTTTATAACTACATATAATATTTTTTTTAGTTATTCCTTAGGTGTTGTGGCTATGGTTAAATTAAAACAATATTTTTTCTACGTTTAGTATTTATGTACCATGCTTCTCCAGGAATTTTTTTTGGTATTTCCTATGTCTTGGAATAGTGTTTATTATCGTTTCT